GTGAAATAAAATAATACTACTGATCTTAGTAGTATTCTCCCAAAATCCTTTATTATAAATATACATTTAATTTCTATCGTCGAAATAATTGATTATTAGGCTCACTTAAGCTGTATATGTAACGGAATATCATTGATTTGATCAAGCTAATAGTAAGCTGTCCGCTGAACGAGAGTTCATAATTAATTATCGAGACGATTATTGTTTAATTAGTTTAGAAAGAAAAGTAGAGAACCAAAGAATATGAATAGAATTAGAAGGAAAAAGTGAGAAACTAGCAGAAGAAAGGTGGCAAAAAAAAGAGGTTTATCTCGCTAATAAAGCCCTTCCTAAAACACCAAGCAAATTTAAATTGTTTAAGGAGAAAGCAAAAATTAAATTCTTAAAAGAAGAAAAAAGCAGGAGTTAGTCACTCGAATTGAAGTTCAGTTAAATAACCATGAGAGAATTGCTTTACATAGCTTTGTGGAGTTAGAAGAGTAGTGTAGCACCAAGTTGCCTTGTTTCTCTCAGAAAAGAAAATGAGATAGTTTGTCAAATAATAACCCGTAGTAAAGTAACCCATAAACTAGTTGCAATTGATTTTGCCTGTCAAGGGTGTAAAGAGAAGTTTGAAATAACCAAATACAAATGTGAGAGATGCAGAAGATTACAAGTTGACTCGGATACTGATTACACTACTGGAAAATATGTCTGCCATTGTATCGAATGTGGGGGAAAATTTGGAAGAAAAAAACTCCCTGTCCTACCTCATGAAGAAAGAGAATCATTATGAACGATAAATAAATGGATTACGAGAAGAGTTAGTCATGGCTGAGAAATCAAAAGAGAAGAGATAACCAAATTTCAAGAGAAGTCTGAGGAGTAAAGTAAAAGACAGAAACAAGAATTATTGAATAAGATATAGATAAAGAGTTTAGGAGAAAAAATTAAGCACTGGAAGAGGAAACCAAATTATTGAAAGCACAACAGAACGGTCAAGTTGCTCAAGTAGAAGTTAAGGAAACTAAGAAATGACCTTGATGGAAAGTAAGGAAGAAATTTAAAGATTGGTAAATTTCATAAATGATCTTTTCTTTATCTAGATATTCCTGGAGAGCTTTGGTATCATTGATTTTAAAAACATAAGGGACAATATTTTCTCCTTGTTCTCTTTTAATATACTCTGTAATTCTTTGGTTCCATGATGGATTTGATGTAAATTAGCTTCATATTAATATTAATATTAATGTTTTTATACAGAGATAATCCTATATTAAATATAACATGTTATAGCTTCAAGCAAAAGTTTTATCTTAATCAACTTGAATGTTAGCCATACTTTGGATGATTTAGATTTAAAAGTGCAAGTAAAATTAACCTATGGAATGCGTATAATAATAACCACAGCACTATTAAAGTCTTCGTTAGTATTAAATACATTGATTGATCTCCAGCCACATCAGTCATTTTTGTCTGGTTTTGTTGCAGCATACCCCATATATTTGTCACTCGCCAAGAACAAGGCAAATAGGCTTTTCGTAATAAATTTGCCGCTCCGGGAATACACGTAAACTGATCTTCCGGATGAACGTGTGAAAATTAGCAGTCATGTACTCAAAATTTTTAATAAAAGAACGAGACCAGAACAACCAATATGAAGTGTCATTTCCCCATTGTCATATTCCGATCAACACCCAAAGACCAAATTTAGAAATCTCTGTCCGATTGGAATTCTTATTCAAATTGATAATCGTGCGGATTGAAGTTAATCCTAACTTAACTCGTAGTCTTCTCTAAAACAAGAAAACGTGATCGCTAAGGATAAAGTTTATCGTAAGAAAAAAAGGCATAATTGATACACTCTCTTTTTCTTTTTAATGATTGACATTACGCCCTCTTATCTTGTAACACCACCAACGATCATTTAGAATGTTTGGAAATTAATTATTGCAAAATAATGTTATTAATGAGAAATGGGATTTAATATATAACAAAATTTATCGTGTTTGATTCCCACTACGCTGTGTCTCCTGGGATCTTGACATACTATTTGCTATGATGACTATAGAATTTGATCATAATAGAATTCTTGTTATTGAAATTAATATAGTCTGAAAAAGCCAATGCATTACGTATCACAATGGATTATAGCAAATATAAGGGTTAATTGTCGTATAAATTGCAAGTTAAAATTATGAATTAGTTTAATGCAATTAATTTACATTTCACCTGATACAAGCAATAATCAGTTTAATGCGCAATTTCCATCCGATACCAGCTTACGAAACACCCCCACCCATCCTTGTTGAAAACCGCGTTGTATTAGTAATAGAGAGAGAAACTTGACAACAACGAATTTCGATGCAACAGTACATGTTTGTAATCAATGATAAAGTAAATCGATGGAATCCTGACTAAGTTTATATTATACTTTTGAATTCATTTATAAAAGAGTTTGATAAATGATACATACTTTTTTTTAGTAATACAAACTGAATTTGGAACAAATAAAGTTCTCAATATACAAAGGTTATTGGATTGAGAATACAGCATCAACTCAGATGATGAATGAGGCAAGAAGATGGCGAAAGAAATGAACAAATGAGTGAATATGTGATGTGGTATGCGGAAATGGGTAGTGATGAAGTGAATTAATGTAGAAATAATGACAGAAATATGTATATCCAAAGAAGTTGTAATATTACAATTTGACATCATCTGAGCTAATAGAAACACTCTCGATCCAAATCAAAAAAGTCCGATACGATGAAAAGAATGTATGTTATCGCAGATAAATGGCAATTTCCACTAAACATGCAAAAACGCCGACATCATCGACTCTAATCTACTTATATCTCGCCCAGAGAGAAGATATCTACACAACATACCTTTTTTTTTTCATTGTCTTACTGTATCTCTCAGTTGCTTTATCTAACACACCATTCTCAATCTCATCGTATCTATTCCTTTTTTTTTTCTTTTCTCTTTAACGCTATAAAATCATTTCGTTGCCACTAATACTCCCATCATTCGATGGGACACTCTTTGTAAGACCTTCTTGACTTGGTACTGCAGTTTCGATACTCTGACAATCATGACTGGCTTGACCTCCAAAAGTATGTCCATGACCGTGAGAATTTGAACTTCCAATAACAACAGCAACGCCCTCTCCGCTCTCTCCCAACTCTGCAATTGCTCCATTGCACGTATACGAGGCTCTTCTTGCGTAGCGCATGCGAGGAGACGAAAATGTTCTGAAACTCGAGTAGGATGGGTTTGAGGTGGCGGACGGTGGTGATGACGGTAATGTTGGTGTCGATAAGAAAGATGAGGAAGATGCAGATGTAGATGATGATGGTGATGGTGATGGTGATGATGATGATGTTGATGATGTTGATGATGTTGATGATGTTGATGATGATGATGAAGTAGTAGTAGTAATGTTCTGAAGGAGGGTGGGGTTAGAATGGGGGGGGAGGAGAGCAGAGGATGAGGAAGAGCCACGTTGATGCGTTTGGGAATGCGTGCGATGGCGGTGGTGTGAAGTATTAACAGGTAATGACTGGGTTGGGCATATAGGAGAGAATGAAGGGGAGGGTGAACCAGAAAACGAAAACGATGGCAACAGGGATGGCGGTGGTGATGCTTGTGATAATAAGAGTGACGGCGGTGATAATAATGCTGTTGGTGATGATGTTAATGTCGGTGTTGATGATAGTGTTGAAGGTGATGAGCATACAATCAATCCGTCCTCAGAATGTCCTGCATCTGAAACCAATTGTTCTCTCGTCCTTATACTTAAAGTTGATATAATACTCGCGCTCGTCTCGTCTCCATTATTATTTCCTATACGTTCAAGAACCCTAGCACGAGTATTCTCGCTCTCGTCGCTCAATTTCAACCTCTTTGCCTCTCCACCCTCTCTATCCGACCCCCTCTCTCTCCATTCTCTGCATCGCCTTGCAATCTTTTCCTCCAACTCCGCTTCTTTTTCCCTTTCCCTTCTTGCCGCATCTTTCAACAGCGCAACTTTTATCTTGTGTTCAAGCTCAATTGTTTCTATGTGTTCATGTTGAATGGATTGATTCGAGGTGAGCGTTGATGAAGAAGAGAAGGAAAACGTTGAGGATGAAGCCACTGTTCCTCCAACTATTATCCCATCTCCGTTGCTACTCCTAACGCAACCCACAACCGATGAGGATGAAGAAGATGATAAGGACAATTGCGATCCAAGGCACATTAAAAACTCTGACAACTTTGAGAAATCATAGTCGCTCGTTAACGCTTTCAGGAACCGCTGCCTCGCAGCATTTATGGTTGTTATAGATGCGACGTATGACGTTGATGTAGTATATGGAGGTGCTGTGAGAATGCTAGCAATAAGTGACGCGGTAAATTGTGGAGCCCAGTTGTAAGTCATATGGCGGAGAAGTGTTCCACGACGAGAGTCGCCTTTTGAAATAAAAGTAAAAAGAAAAGTCTTTGTGAGATACTACTGAGGATATTGGTTTGATGAGAGCAACTATACGTATACATTTTTATCTTGGTATGGTCAACATAATCCTTTTATTTGAAACCAACACACTCGCTCTTCCTCGTCTTTTATGTTTTTCTTAATTCATTGACCCTCAATTGGACACATACCTTCATTCCCTTTCCAATCGACAGTAACTTGCTTAACCAATACTGCAATGCTTTCCAATCTCCAGTCGCTAATCAACCACTTCAAGGCGTTAATAATCCTCGGCAGTGGATATTGATTAGCAATGCGATGCAAATACATTGATATTACAACCACGTTGTCTTCTGATTTCAACCAGTTGTAGAATGTGGCATCATACAGCGTATCCATTCGTTTAATGTTTTTGTAGACGTCTACCCACGAGTCGTCCGCGTCTTCAGTGTTTTGAGGCGAGTGGGAGTCTATTTGGAGGAAAAGAATGAGCAAAGGAGTTAGACAATGTAGGGATGTTGTAAGATACGGTGGGTAGGTTGTAGAATGTTGTATGTCTGTTCGAGCACGCGTCACTTTCTAAATGTCAACATTAAACTGGCAACGCAATTAAGGCCCAACAGAGACGTGCAGGAATTTGACGACGGTATGGCGTGAATGGTAGTATATAGTATAGGGTTCCAGTCAGCCAGTCAGTCCACGTTTGCACATTTTACATTTGCACTTTACATTCATGTGTGCTTTTGCTTTCTTTTTCCTTGACCTCTTCATGACATACCGTTCAGCTTTCTCTTTCGAGCCGAGCCAGGAAAAAGAGACCCGCTGTGTGTGTCCATTTTGTTCGAGTAATGCAAAAGGAATACTAGTGAGAAAAGATTCGAAGGGGTGGGTGGGGTGGTATGTTTGCTAGGTATTTATGCAAGTTGGCGATAGTGGAATAAAAAGCTTCGAGACAAGTTTTCTTAATTAAGTAATAAAACGAGTAATGAAGATGTAATATAGATGCAACGAGTGTATGTTTATGTATTAGATATGCGATTATTTGGGATTGGATGTGTTAACAAGAGGTCAATACAAATAAAAATGAATCAATAAAGACTCGGATTGTGTATGAATAATAAATAGTTATACTGTCATACATATTATATCGCTATTATTATCATTTCTATTGTTTGTAATACTCTTCAAATAAGGAGCAAATATACCCATCAACCACCCGAATGCAGTCATTTCGCTCGGTTTTTCTGTAAACCCCCCCCCCATGACAGCCCTAAAAAAGGGTTATTTCTGCAGTGCATCAATTATTCCAATATTACTTTATATTGCTGTATCAGAGACAAAGAATTCTGAATACTAAACTCGACGAATAAGTGAAATATGTCTTGTATGAATCCGACGATATGGTATATTATTCATGGTATAACCCAATTAAACCAAAAAGCGTATGCCACGTCTGCCCCACCCCCCATAGTAATAGAAAGCAAATAGTCAGTCGTTAAATATATTTAATAATTATTACGATTATTCTCATTGGTTGGCACTTGATATTACGTTTTACCATCAATTCATTCGTTCGGGTTCATATGACTAGTATTATATAGTATTACTACTGTTATTATAGTATTACTGCTGTTCTTAGCATTAGTACTGCTTTTCTTAGTATTAGTACAGCTGTTATTAGCATTAATTAGTATTAATACTGTTATCCACCTTGCTTACTGCTACCATCGCCTTACTACCATCGCCTTACTACCATCACCTTACTACCATCGCCTTACTACCATCATCACCTTACTACTACCATCACCTTACTACCTTACTACCATCATCACCTTACTACCTTACCTTACTTACTACCATCACCTTACTACCATCCACCGCTATACCATCACCACCTTACCACTATCACCTTACTACTACCATCACCTTACTACTACCGCTACCTTACACCATCACCACCTTACTACCATCACCTTACATCACTTTATCTCCCAATCCGTGTTTTTTCTTGTTGCCCCGTCTAGTTGTTCATTGGTTTGGTCAATTTAATAAATATTTTAAAGTTTTCGGTCGATGGATCTCCTGTTTCATATTTGTACTCAATTTTAGCGCATTTTTCTTATCACTCATAGATGGACGTCATAATCTCGGACAATTAACTTGGGTTTGGATTACAATTTTAGTGTTTTGTCACTCGTTTTTAGTTCTGATTAAGTTTATTGCCGATTCTTTTAATTTAATTATTTATGGATTCTCATGCTTGGGTGTGTTTACAGACTTTCAATTATCACTGTATGTATGCACATTAATATTACGGGAATTGGGATTGGGAATTACTTATACAGATAATTCCGGTATAACAATAATAATGTTATTGTTATTATTATACTATAAATGATTTATTTACTCAATTATCAATTCGTTTTTGGTAATTTGAAAGTGAAAACCTGTAAAATAGCATACAGTGATACCGATACACATCTCAATCACTTGGCGCATGAGGAAATAGTTCATTCTAAATAATGAACATACACAGATCGCTTGGCGTAGTAGAAATGAATATGGCGGCCACAAGAGCACATTATTCCTACTATATGGTAAGCCCTTCCCCTCACACTTGTTCTAGAGAACTTATCTGTCCTACATTAAACTCTTGTTAAAAAAGAAGAGATCGTGGATGTTCTCCCAAAGAATCTATATTAGTATTCCCCCATATGTATTAGATAGATAAATCAAGCAATTGCCATGTGCATATGGGAAGAAATACCGGCCTCATGTATTCACACCGAGAATTTCTATTTATAAATAACCTTTACAACTGCTTTTTAAAGATACTACGTAATAACTAACCGTCAATAAATAAAACCTACGTCTGTAATAGCCACCCCCCCCCCCCACTCTCCTCTCTCCTTCCCTATTTCCGGAAATGGTATGACGGCTCCAGAATTGGTCCCTGCCGACATATAAACAAAGAACAGGCGATCGTGAAATAGAAAATATGGGCACAATCCTAAAGATAATTATAACCTTGCTACTTTATTGGCTTTAAACGTTCTTGCGCATACACAGTCGCATAATGATTATTAAAAAGTCCAAGTGTGCGAGTTACCTCAATGTCAGTGCACGTAATTAATTGGTGACGAATTACAATAATAACGCTGCTGTTATTTACAAATTCGAAAGGGGCTCACGCTAACGTAATACGCTAGTTGGCAACCATAGGGAAGAATTCTCATACCACCTCGTAGAGATGATTCTTATCATTCCATACACATACCCACCCCCCACCCCCCCACAACAGACCACTTGATTTGTTAGATTGCCTTTTTCCTTTTTCCATCATGTAACTCGGAAATTTTCTTTGTCTAAAATAATCGTTATTAATGGCTTACACAAAAATCGCTGATATGTAATGATTCTGAATTCGGTACGATTCACAGTTTGTAGAACCAATCTCGGCGTAAAAACACGACAAACATCTAGTTTAGGAAAACAAAATGAGTTCGAGCTAAAGAAAACAATCTAGAGATTAAGTTAGTTTCAATTAATGAAATATTTGTTTATCTAATTGGAGCAGCTAAGTAAACAAACCGTTATCGTTCTATCATAATGACACGAGCCGAGATGGTGGTTGGACACTTGCATAACACAAGATAAGTTTAATGAACGAATGTCTGTGATAGTAACCATTTCTGATATTCTTAATATTTGTAACATTTCTGATAGGTATCAAACTTTTAAAATAACCACATTAATGTTTGCTTTGTATAGTTGACAAAAGAACTTAATATTCAAAATTTTGACTACAATTGTAACGAGAGAATATATTGACCTTTAAATAACAGCGGATTGTATAGAGCAGCATTGTATTGCATACTCTACATGCTTTTGTAACCTATCGACTCCGTGATTTGTGATCTTATGGTTTCAACACTAATGAACGATCCTTCTCTTTATGACAGAAGAATTGCGCCTCCTGTATAAGGATATTTATGGGAATATCAAATAAATTGGTTCAACGAACAAAACTGTATAACAAGCAATTAAGAAGATCGGTTAATGAGAAAAGAAAACGTCATCTAACGCTTAGAGTTAGCTAATTTGACATATCTATCAAATCACACTCTTGCTCTTACCATAATAATGTTTGTTTCGGTTTTCTACGTACATGCAAACTAACGTTAAATTCTATAAATAAAGTGAGCCAGAAAATCCTATTTTTTTCCTGGAAATTGGCATACTTTTTTAAATACAAAGGAATATCTGCGTTATTCTAATAAATAAAGGGAGCAGCTTATCGTTTACACCAACGATAACTCGAAACTTTAGGACTATAGAAAGGGTATCGAATGCCTTTAATCAATAATCATTCTATACCGATACGGAAATCACGTGTTCAGACATTCAACGATCAGTTTGCGAGACCATGTGATTTTTTACTGAGAGATCGAAGAACTATCCCATATAATTTGGAGTCGTTTATAATGAAATTTAGTATACTGTACATAAACTTGAAGAAGTGGGTAATAAAAAGCTTGTTATCAAGTATGCATGCCTTTCGAAAATATAATAGCGAAACAGCGTTACACGAATGACAAAATAGGATTCATTGTTATGCGACAGCAGCAGGATTTGAACCTGCGCGGGCAGAGCCCATCAGATTTCGAGTCTGACGCCTTAACCACTCGGCCATGCTGTCATAGTTTATAACGAGTTTCCTCTAAGGCTTAATAAACTTCTAATAAGTATGCAAACCTTGCAATTCTACATGATATATAGCAACTTGGAAGGCTTTCTAGACTGCCAATCTTACATGCTCCTACTATTAATTGGCAAAGTAATTTGTCTGATAAGTCAATTGGACATTAGATAGTTACTGGGACAGATATAAGCATCTGTGATATCAGAAACTGCCATAATAATAGGAAAGTTTGAATATGACCAAAGGCTCACGTTCAATTCGAATGACAAACAAATCGAAAACTTAATTTACAGAAAGTATCGGGTATACTCTTCTATTCCTGATACTTTTACTCTGACCGTAATACTACATGATTAGAAGCTGACCGCTTTATAATTTTTATTATAATATCTTTTAATGGTAATTGTTCAAGCGTCAGAAGATTTATAAATCAACTAAATTGTTTAAGGAAATGATCTATTTAACAGACAACACGTTTGGTTCTCTATTCAATATTATAGCATCTGACTATGACATCCAAAGACTTTAACGGCAAAAAAAAGTCCAAATTTTGATAACTGTTTCACATGATCAACCATAAAATTAATAACACGTTACGAAAATTTTTGTAGTGGAGCGAAGAAAAATGTGTTGATGTTTGCACAAATGGGGTTTGTTCGTATGCGAGTACGTTCTAAGTATAAGTGTTACAATTTCAAGTAATAATAACGTTATTTAAATTTAATTGTTAGGAGGTTAGCTTTACTTAAAATATAATAATATACAGTGGGCTCCAAAAAGTCACGGAGTAACACAAAAATTTACGAATCATACCATGAAATCGTGCATATGTAAATGTACAATTTTAGTAACATAACTGTATTTGGTGCATTAATTAAACGTGTTTGCAGTATCGTTTTACACATATTTAGTATTGTTTATAGATATATTTTTACCTTCTTTTACTTAAAAAAAAAACGTCAAAGTCAGCGAAAGAGTTTCGCCGATTTTATCCTGGAATTTCAATTGACAAAAGCGCAAAATCCACATTGACAACAGGAAAAAGTTCATTAAGAGATTGTATTTAGAATGGTGTAAATATATAATTACAAATTTTTATAATTTTAGTTAAAAAATGGATAAAGTATAGAGACT